TGCGCCTAACTCAAGGTCACAGAGATCTTCTCCTATGCCTTGTTCTAGAAGTTTCATAGTTCTAGCTGTTGCATTTAGGTCTATAATCCATTTCAAGTTCATTTCTGTGGGGTTTTTGGGCTGTTGGGTAACTCCTGTCACAGCTGCATTTCTTTAAACATTTTGAAATCACGTAGTTTCAGTCTCACAACTTTGTTCTTTTTCCAAAATGTTTTGGTTTTTGCAATATCATATACATTTTAGGGTCAGCTTCTCAATTTCTACAAAAAAGCTGCAGGGATTTTGATTGAAATTACATTGAAATTATAGATCAATTTGGGGAGAAATGCCATCTTGGCAATTTGGGGTATTTCAATCCATGAACATGAAGAGTCTTTTCATTTCTTTAGGGTGTCTTTAATTTTTCTCAGCAATGCTTTGTAGTTTGTATGTCTAACACTTCGGATGTCAAATTGGTTTCTAACTATTCTGTTTTTTTAGATGCTACTGTGACTAGAATTTTTTTCTTAATTTCATATTTTGATTGCTCGTAGTACAAATGCAATGATTTTTGCTTATGGATTATGTACCATGGCCTCGTTAGGATCATCAGTGACCTCTCGTTTCTTCTCTGTGCATGGATTCCTTGGGATTCTTCTACACACAGAATCATCTCATCTGTGAATGAAGCACTACTTCTTCCTGACCTGGGAGTTTTTTGTTTCTTTCTCTAATTTTACATCCTATGGGGGCAGGGCGAGCACCTGGCCTCTAGTTCTGAGGTTGTTCGAGTCTCAATAGCACCTGAGGCTCTGCTGATCGACTTCACCGTGGTACAATGACCTTCAACAACATGAGCAAACCAGGGCCATTCTGAGGATATTCTTGAAAAGAGCGCCACCTGTGCCCTCCTCTGGGCTGGGGCGCTCGGCAGCAAGGCCTAGACTGCTGTTCTCAGCAAACTGCAATGTGCAGACGAAGTCTTCTCTGTGCTGTTAGTGAGTGGGTGAGCTGAGTGGGTGAGCTGACTGTGTGTCCTCATGTGACCGCTGTTCTGGTTGGAATTTATCATTGTGCAGCCTCAATAAACCCCAAAATCAGCTTAAAATGATCGCATCCTTAAGAGGTCGTAAGGGATTACCATATATAACGGAAATTTCTTTCAAATATCTGTATGTGTAATCCATTTCAACAAAAGATATTATAGACGAAAATATTTTAAAGTAGTGGTCTTTGAGTTAGTTTCCAGAAATAATCATTACATTTAAATACAAATAAGTTTAAGTCATTTAGACACGCTTTTTAACGTTAAGTGGAAGGGCAGGTATACTTCTGTTCTTCGAGCTTTAAGAGATAAAATAAAACGCACACATAGAAATGCTGTGCGTTACTGAAATGTTCATTAAAGAAGAAAAAACTTCCCGTTTTCCATTTGTCACCCGAGGTTAATGAACTGTTTTTAGAGAAGTTAAGTGGCTGTCAGCTGATTTATTTTGCGGTTATTTTCCTATCTACTCAGCAGAAGGTCCAGCTTGCTTTTGCTGATGACCACAAGTTACAAAGGTCTTGACTTTGAGTCAGGACTAGTCTGACCAGAATCAGTCTGATCTGTAAGATAAGAGACTGGGTTTGGGCCTGTCCCCTGAGCAGGGAACCTCTGCTTGGTGTGGGGGACATGGAGGCAGAGGGAGACTCCCCATCCCCAGAGGGCACTGACTCCCCTCAGGTTCCCAAACCGTTGATAAAGTCACCACTGCTTGCCATCACCCACATCTGGGGAGAGATGGACCCCAAGCGTCAAGGTAACTCAACTCGGGAGGAGCCTGATAGGAGGGGCACCTTTGGGCATCCATCTGGGGTTGCCCACCTCTGAGCCAGTCATCTGAAGTGAGTGACGGGCCCGCCTCCTTCCCTCTGCCAGCTGCCCGACGGCACGCATCACTGGCAAAGGTGAAATTCTTTCCTTCTCGAGCTAGTTTGTAGTCTTTTGGAGTACGTTGGTAACATAATCAGGGAAGACACTTCTAACACGGCAAATGGTGAGCTGCACTCCACAGAGGAGAACGGGATTGGCAGAAGCCGTCACTGGAAAGCCTCCAATAAGTATGATGTTCTCTCAGCGGGCTTGCCTGCCCTTCCTGCACAGCCCCGGGGTGCAGGAGAAGGCGTGTGCTGTGCACCCGTGGGGACTCAGGAGAGTCAGGCAGCTGCCCAAGGACCGGATCCCGCCCAGCCTTTGCCACTGATGTGCCCCTGCTGCTGGGACCCTGCTCCTCACTTCTCCTATTCAGTAAAAAAATGTCAGGAAAAGGGTGAGAGGAGGGAGGGAGGGGGAGAAAGAAAGGAAGAGAAAGAATAAGAAAGAAAAGTGAAAAGAACCCTCACAAGGCAGAGCTAGTATCCACCTGCAGGTCACGCATGTTTCTGAATTTCTCTTGCCTTTTTGACTGACCTCCCCAGCCCTGTCCCAGCCCAGCTGACGACAATGACTCAACTTGTTTCTCCGTTTTCGCCCCCTCATGGTTGGCCCCCAAGAGCCAGTTGTGAAAGTAATCTGAGTTGGCACAAAGGAGAACTTGAAAGGCTATTTTTAGTCCATGCTCAGAAGACGGGAGCAGTTTGCTGAAGATTACAGCCCCTGAAATTTTGTTCTTTCAAAACTTTCAGACATTCAGATGTGGCTGAGTGGACACGGGGCTTCCGAGTTCTCCGTGAGGAGATTCCAGAGGCCTGCGCGGTGGTCGTCCAGCTCCTTTTCCTCTTGGGAAAAGCCAGTGGACTACGAAGGGGCTGCTTCTCACAGCCCATGTAGCCCAGGCCCTGGCGCACCGCTGGGGGTCAGTGAAGGCCACGTATGTTTGCCGATGTCTCAGGAGAAGCCAGACGCCACCACTGGCTCACCTCTGCTCTCCCATGGCAGGCTCGGTCCGGGCTTCCCGCCCTCCTGGCCACGCGGCACAAACTGAGCAAGTGGCACGGGATTGGGGCGCCGTGGGCATCCAATGGGCTGTTCATTATGGACTTGTTTACACTAGATAATTAAAAGTGGAAACAGAAAACAGAGCACAGTGAAGTCTTCACTTAACGTCAGCAAGTTCTTGGGAACTGGCTTCATGTGAAATGTACAACAGAACCATCTTTACCAGGGGCTGATTGACATAAATATGAGTTAATTTCCTCCGTCTTATTTCTGGTCATGGAAACATCACCGAACTTCTAAATAAAGACCCAAAACACTCCTACTATTAAACCCTGGAATAAATGGGAGCTCTACATGCAAGTAAGAGACGAATAAAAACAAGATGATGATTTTCCCACCCACTGATTCGAGACTGGTGGCTGGAGCGTCTCCCAGCAGCTCAGGGCGCTGGGCGGACCCACCCTGGACAGACCCACCCTGGACAGGACCCGCATCCACTGCGGGCCACACACAGCCACGGACACACTGGGACAGTGTGGACACGCCAGCTCACCTCACGTGCACACCTCGGGGGTGTGAGAGGAAACGGGGGTCCCCAAAGAAAACCCACACAGATGTGGGCAGACAGTGCCAACTTCACCAGACAGGCCCTGGCCCGAAAGCCATTTTTTCTTCATTAATGTTATAATGAAATGACATTATTAAAGGACCTGCTGTATATTAGTTTAGATAGTTAATACGAAATGTATCTGAAACTTCCAAATAAGTTTTTCAGTTTGCTCACAGACATGAATGCACCCTTTTACATTTTTTTTCTCGAACTAAGCAGTCAGCTCCTGATCAAGACTTCAGGGACGAGTTATTCACATTCTTGAGTCCCCATCAACAAGAAACTTGGCACAAGAAGATATAAAAACTTTTATTGATTTTTTTTTTAACAACCATTCAAAAACTTCCAATTAGTAGAAATGATTTTTTTTCACTGATAAAAGGTGATAATGGTATTTCTCATAACAATGCAGATTCTTTTCCTACTCTCAGAACTTTCTAGTATGGGGCATTGCAGTGACGGGGGAGTGCGTCACCCCGGAGACTGGGCACCGGGGCTGGCAGGCAGTATCAGACCCGGGACATCAGGACCACACCGCGGGGCCTGCTGCAGAAGCCGACCCTCGTGGCTGCGGTGGCCTGGGTGAGGCTACTCACAAGTGGTGACGAGCAGGCCCGAGGAGGACAGTAGTCCTGGCCCAGCTGTGCTGCCCTGAGGACTGAGGGATCAACTGACCGCATCAGGCTACTGCTCCTGCTGTCGGAGTAAGGTCGCCTCTTCCTGCCTCAGTCTGCCCATCTGTGAAGTGGAGACAATAGTACCTACCTGGTAGGGTTGTTATGAGGACTAAATGAGAGCTGTGCCTGGCACACAGTAAATGCCATCTATGTGTTTCTTAGATCAAACTGAAAAGTTTGAGAGGTTCTGGAGCAGACCCCCAAATCACATGCTTGGAACCAGCCAGAAAATTGCTTGGTTCTGAATTCTCAGTCCTCCCTTTTCTAGCTGTGGGCACCACAGGCCACTCAACCTCTGCAGCCTCAGTTCCCGGTCCACACAGGGTGATGGCACTGGCACCCAGGCCGTGTATAGACTCAACAGGTCAGTTTGTGTAAAGTGCTTGAAACATACTAGGTGCCCAAGAAACAATGGCTGTTGTGATGCAGAGATGCCAGGGGGCAATGTGGCTGCTGAGCCTAAGCCGGCTCCCTGCTGCTCCTGCCTCCCACACAGGCTGCCCTTGGCTCCCCTTGGCTCCCTGCGGTGCCCTCCCACACTTCCTTTTAACCCTTTCAGCTCCCAGTGTATTTCAACCCGTTAGTACTTTCTGCCCTTCATCTTTGGTCTCTCTAAAATGTTTCTTTCTTATCTTTAAGAAACATCCAAGAATGGCCAGAGCAAGTGCGTCGAGCGTCAGGCACTAAGGAGACCCTTTGCGAAGGCACGAGGCTGCCACGACCCTGTTTACAAGTAAGCACCACACTTCCTTCTTCATTCATATTTTATTAGGAAGTTACAGCAAAGAACTGATCAGTTATAAAACGTCCAAGATCAAAAGGTCATTCGTATCAAACAGACGACTCACAGAGGAATATCAGATTTTTCATAAGACCAGAAGCAAAGTCAAATACGGCATTTCATTTCACAAATATTTTTACATTGAATAGTCAGGAAAATGAAAAGAACTAAAACAAACGGAAGAACTTTGTGCAAATGTTAACAAGAGATGAGGCTGTTAATGCTTACATTTTCCATCTGTAAGATCAGTGATATAAAATAAGTCATCTTTTATGAAAATATAGTCTCTGTCTCTTTCTACCATATACACACATATTTTTCTCTTTAAATAAATATATATATTATGCATTTTTAATGACGTACTTAACAACATTCATCAGGTGCTTTCGGGCCGTGGCGTTGACTTGGTCAGGGACTGAAACCAGAGACTGGGCATACGTGGAACTCTAAGCGAGGGACCTCCGTGGTTGGGGAGTGTTTCTCAGCTCTCCTCACACGAGGACTTCTGAGTCTTCCAAGGGGTCATCTGCAAACAGAAGTTCATCTGGCAGTGGGCTCTCCAAGGACAGCGTGCTGGACTGGGACCAGGAGACCCTGCTCCTTCGGTGCCTGTCCGTCGCTGGGCCGGCAGAAGCCAGGTCTTCCCAGTTCTCACTGCCCCCATTTAGAATGTACCGCCCCTCGCGAGGGCCGTTCTCATGAACTTGGGCGGTGACCACGCTAACAGCAGCGTTGGACGCGCAGGCAGCAATGATGGAGTCGGGGTCGATGGCCATGTCCAGCTGAGCGAGTGGGGGGCCCTCTGCCGGGCCCTCACAGCCCCCTGGAAACGGGGTGTTGATGTAAACGACGTCGTCTTTGTCCTGCACTTCAGGCAAACTTTCCAGGAACTTTTCCAGCTGCAGCCTCAACAAGGAAAAGGTGGGTCGGTCCAAGGGCTCGGCCCTCCAGCACGAGTGCATCATCTCATACCTGCAGGGAGAGACCCTCCTGATCTCCGGCACCGCGCCCCTGCGCGCCGCCGGTCCCACCTCGTCTTCGATGTTGTCACATTAAAAAAATTGTTATCGATTGATTTTTAGAGAGGGAGAAAGTAGGGGAGAGAGAAAAACATCGACTTGTTCGTCCACTCATCTAGGCATTTATTGGTTGATTCTTATATGTGCCCTGACCAGGAATTGAACCCGCAACCTTGGCGTATTGGGACGGTGCTCTAACCAACTGAGCTACTCGGCTAGGGGGATTTTATCACATTTTAATCCATACTAATTTTACTTTTTGGAAATTTCGGTTTTCCTTGTGGCATAGCATTTGTTCAACTTTTATTCGTGGCCCGTGGACGTGTGGCGGTGCTCTGTCTCCAGAACACGGCACGAGGCAGAGCCAGGCGGCTCAAAGAGACCACGTGGCCTCAACATAAAAGGATTCACCCTCTGGACCTTCACAGAAAAGTGTGCTGACCCCTGTCCTACACCTTCAAACTGGGTCTGTCACCCAGAGCTCAGTGAGAAGGGCCGGGGGTGGGTGAAGACGCCCCACTGTGCCGGGTGTTCTGTATGTGTTACTACACCTCATCTTTTCAACAGCCCAGTGCTTGTAACTTGGCAGTAAAACGAGAGTGGGCTCAGGACGTTACAGAACATGCCACGGCTACGTGGGCAGCAGGGGGGACTGGCCTCTGGCTGGACGAGTCCTCAGACCTGCTGACCCGGGCTCCTCATGACCCCTCTGCTGTGCTCTGTAGGAAGGACTTCCTTTGGGGTGGTGTCATTCCCTGTGTAACCAAGAAGTACAATGCGGGGACAGTGATGTGCGCACAAACAGAGAGATGACTGAATTAGAAAGAGTGAGTTATATCACCATTTCATTGGGATTCTTTCCTGTTTTGAGAAATTGATCTGCATGTTGCTGGATGAAGAAATGACCCAAATGTTAGCCATCTGACCCATGCAGTAGGTACAGCCATCTTGTGAACACAAATATGCAGCCTCCACATTCACATGTGACCACATCACGTAGAACTCGGCTAATTCTACTGGCACACACGCACACGCCGACAGGTCTCTCACGTATGACGATCAGTGTCTGTGGGGACCCCGCGCACCCGAGCAGCAGGCGTGTTTCCCTGATAAGCTGATTCTCACCGGACGCCAGCTCGGCTCTTTGCCCCCCCCTTTCTCCTTCATGAAACAGCCCCCCAAACCTGGCAAACAGCTTTGGTTTCCATTTCTGAGGTTTCTATGGTATAAATCAATTTGCACGGCTTCCTGTTTCCCACAGAGCCTCGACTGTTTGCGGTCTGAAGTGAACTTGGAGGAGTTCTGCCCTCGGAGAGACTCTTCTTTTCATTAGGCCCTGAAGGCACTGCTGTTGGCTTGATCTTCATCTAGTGCATGTCTTAGGAGAAAGCGTTTACATAACAGCAATTTTTAACTTGTGTGCCATAAGGATTTTTAAAACATGCAATATCTGACTATTTAGTTAGGGGCACCGACCTCTTTTCCCTTAGACTGTCAAAAAATTACAACAGCCGCCCTGGCCGGTTTGGCTCAGCGGTTGGAGTGTCAGCCTGCGGTCCGGAGAGACCCGGGTTCGGTTCCCGCTAAGGGCATGTACCTCGGTTGCAGTTTGTCCCCGGCCCTGGTTGGTCGTGCGGGTGGCAGCCACTCGATGTGTCCCTTTCACATCGATGTTTCCCTCTCTCTTCCTCTCTCTCCCTCCCACTCTGTCTGTACAAAAAATGGAAAAATGTCCTCGGATGAGGATTAAAAAAACAAAAAAACAAAAAACAACAACAGCCAACCCAACAACAGCTGTCCAGTGTGAATGAATAAAAATGATACCTATTTTGCCCTGGCCAGCATAGCTTAGTGGTTAGAGTGTCAGCCTAAGCACTGAAGAGTCATGGGTTCGATTCCTGGTCAAGGATATGCACCTGGGTTGCCGGTTTGATCCTTGGCCCAGTTGGGGCACAACCAATCCATGTGTCTCTCTTACATCAATGTTTCTCTCTCTCCCTCTCTCCCCCACTCTAACAACACAATGGAAACAATATCCTCGGGTGAGGATTAACAAAAGAAAACAACAGCAACAAAAATGACACTTTTTTTTTTTGGTGTGCCGCAGAATTTTAGTAATTAAGTGTGCCATAAGATGAAAAAGGTTGAAAATCGCCGATGGAACCTATGTTCTTCTTCATATAACAGGGTAGCCATATCACTTTCAAAGTTTTTTCTTTGACTTTCAATACTTCATGGAATACATAACAATATAAACATGACTTGTAGACACATGGCGGCGTGGATACTGTCTGAGCCCCTCCCACAAAGGGGAATTCCACGGTGGGCCAGGGAGAAGCAAGAGGGCCCACCCGGTCGGTGAGAGGCGGGCTGGGAGGTGGGTGACTTCAATTCCAGGGACGGAAAGAAAAAACTCTGGTGGCTGCCTTTGTAAATGGTCATTTTTGCTGTTCTATTGAGATTTCATAAAAGATGTAATCATAGAGGCTGCTGGGGGAGTGGGGGCTGGGGGTTGTTGTTTCACGGGGGACGGAGTTCTGGAGACGATGGGGTGATGGCGGTACAGCAACGCGACTGGACTGTGCCCTTGAACGTGGTTAAGATGGTACATTCTATGTTCTGTGCATTTTCACACAGCTTTTTACAAAAGGAGTTAGAAAGATGCAATCATGCAAATGTGTGAAACGGCCAGGTGTCGGACTGCACCCTTATTCGTCATGCACCCGCCGTTCCCCGGCTCCGAGGGTGGCCGAGTGCTTCCCGTCCGCTCGGAGGGAAGACCTGAGCGACACCCGTCTGCAGAGCCGAGCAAGGGACCCGTGACGCTGCCGCCCTCCCTGGGCCCGAGCTGCCAGGTGGACGTGGAGGGACTAACCGGCAAGCAGGGGAGGGTGGGTGCGAGCTGTGGCCCCTCACAGCATGATGTCACTGTCCCCACTTCCTCATGCGTCACGAGGGAGTGGAAGCGGACGGCAGCGCCACGCCCTGCCAGCCTGGCTTCTCTGACTTCATGGCATTAGGGGTGGGACCGGAGGGCAGGGGACTCTGAAGGACCTCTGATGGTTGAGGGGACCCAGTGGGACAAAGAAAGAACAAGGTGGCTCCCGCTAGTGCAGGACCCACGGCGGGTGGGAGTGTCTGCGCGACAGCCAGGAGGCCATAGCTCAGCGACGGAATGCCCTAGAGATGACGAGGACATCCTGCAGAGCGGCCTCCTGGGCAGGGGAACAGGCCTGCTGCCTGGTCACCGGGAGGGGGTGACACGGTGAGAGGCAGCCTCGAGGGGAGGGCAGGACTCCTGTGCTGTTCCTGACATCGGTCCACTTCTTAGCTGACTCGGAACAGACCCGGGCAGGTGACAGGCGTGGACCCATCGCAGCTACGGTCTGACAGCAAATGGAGATGGGCAGCTCAGAAGTGTGTCTCATTTTTAAAAGAAAATGCCCCAGACATGGAAACAGAGGCTTCTTTGTGGACCACCATCCAGATGGGACAGGAGGCCGGGTCAAGTCTGAGGTGCAGAGCCAGCCGGGGGGAGGGGACCGCAGGGCCGCCTGACCGACCTCCTGGCCACGAGGCGGGTGCTGACTCTGCGACTCGCACCTAAAACTTCTCACGGCTCAGCACTCCTCGCCTGGCTCCTCGTCAGCGTCGCAAACCACAGTGTGACGCAGCCCAGCCTTCTTAAAACCCCAGGTCATCACTGCAAGTGCCCACTGCTGTGGCGCAAACCAGAAGCTGAGAAAGGGGCCGTAGATCTCCTCATTCACTCACCGTAGATCTCCTCATTCACTCACCGGTGTTGGGCTAAACTGGCTCCTCTGTCCCAGAAGCAAACATTTCATTCACATGGCTCTATTCCCAAACCACCATGAAACCCCAGATCTAATTTAATTAGAATTGCACAATGTTTTTAAAGGGCTTAACATTTTTTAAAATTTATTTTGTTAATCCTCACCCAAGGATATTTTTTCATTAATTTTTTTTTTTTTTTTTTAGAGACTGGGAGGGAAGGAGAGGGGGAGAGAGGGAGAGAGAAACATCAATGTGAGGGACACACATGGATTGGTTGCCCCCCGCATGACCCCGACCAGGGCCGGGGACCAAACCTGCAAGCCAGGTACATGCCCTTGACTGGAATTGAACCTCAGACCCTTTGGTCCTTGGGCCAACAAGCCAGCCACTGAGCCAAACCGGCCAGGACTTGTTATTTGTAACCACAATAACAGCTCACCCACGAAGCAGGCTGAGGCTCTGATTAATCAAGTTTCCTACTAGGAATTTTCATGCTTAGTGAATTCTCAATGTGCATGTATTAAAATGTGATTTTTCTCCCCTTAAAAAAAATTTAAAAGTTTCCTGCCCTGGCCGGTTTGGCTCAGTTAGGTTAGAGTGTCAGCCCAAGCACTGAAGGGGTGTGGGTTTGATTCTTGGTCAAGGGCACATACTTGGGTTGCAGGTTCGATCCCTGGCCCTGATCAGGGTATGTACCAGAGGCAACCAATCAGTGTGTCTCTCTCACACTGATGTTCCCCTCTCTCTCTCCCCTCCCTTCCACTCTATCTAAGCATCAATAGAAAAATATCCTCGGTTGAGGATTAACAAAAATTAAAAAAAATAAAGTTTCCTCTGTTTGGCTTGGAGGAGATCGGGGAGGCCTGCATGCCCCCTAACCTAGCCCCCACCCCAAGTGAGGAAGCAGGGCCCGAGTGGACATGAGTGTATCATTGGGGGAGAGGGGGAGCCCACACCCCTTCCAAGCCTGAGCCTGTGTAGGCCCAAGGTCCTGAAATCTTGCTGAATATGGCGAGAATGTCTGTAACCCCTGTGTGTGGGGAAGGGACTCGACACCACCAGGGAGGTTCACGCCACAAGCTAGAAGCAACGCTACAAGTCAGCTGGAGAAGGGCAGCAGGTGTGGGCAGATCGGTGTGTGAAGATGTTGGTTTACTAATCGGTACCACTTGCTCTGTGCCTCCGGCAGGCTGAGCTCTCCACACACTTACTCTAACCCTCCCAGTGCCGCTGAAGAATATGCGACTGGACTTAATCTGTGGCTGATGACGAGGCACAGAGAGGTCAAGTCCGCCACAATGGCCTCCCCGTGGATGGCTGAAGGCAGCAACTGGCCTCTGACTCGTAGGTCCAGCCTCTCCCCATACCACACACCCTGGAGAGGAGGGGCCTGTCGGGGATGGGCTGAGCACCGGGTCCCCCAGACAGGGCTTCAAGACATGCACTCCTGGGCCCACTCGGTACCAACAGACTCACAGTGTCCAGCCACAGGGCTGAGGAATCGCGCTGTTCGAGTAACCCCCACACAGCTGTGATGACCAGCCTGACCTCAGAACCATGGGTTTAGGTTTCTAAATTTCCTGATTAAGGATATTATTGCAATTTGTTTGTCTGAAATGTTGCTCAGGAAGAAAAGGCGCTCACTCAGGTACCACATGGGCTATAATGTCAACCCATTTATCTGGGATGCATCTCCCAGGGGCACCTGCAGGGTCGCCGCACACCTGCATGCAGCATCTCTCACGCCAGGAAAGGCTCTGGCCTGGCTAAAAGTCCCCTCCCCCTGCAGCGGTGTGTCCCCAGGTCTCGGCCCACGCGGGGCGCCCGGGGACGAGGAGCGGCTCACTCACAGTTCGTCCAGGCAGTCCTCCGGCTGCTTCAGCCTGTGGCCGTGGAGCAGGTAGTCGTATATCTCGTGGTTCTGGACTCCGGGGTAGGGCGTCATCCCCCGGGTTGCAATCTCCCACATGGTCACGCCAAATGCCCACTGAGAACAAAGCAACAAGAAGTTCAGATCTGAGTCTTTTTAGAAAGTCTGAATGGACTTTTTCATCGGAAAGGTCATTTCCTTAAAGCCCCTGTGACTGCGCACAAAGCTGACAATTATGTCTGAGACACGCTGCTCCCCTAACACGGCAGTCGTGTGGGGTTGGAGCGTCACTGTCCCCACTTTCTACTAATGCTGTTCTGGGAAATCTGTCAGAGGGGACAGAGCCTCCTGCCACATCAATGCCTGGTCCCCATGTGGCCACCAACTGCTCTCTTTCCGAGTCTCTGGTTCCGGGTGTAACTACACAGCATCTTGTTCCCATAGAACCACTGGATGAACTTTCTGAATTTAGTATGAATTTAAAATAGCTTAGTTGTGGGCAATAAGTCACACTGTTGTAGCAAAGGAAAACGGGAATGAATTAAGGGTCTGTGCAAAGACAGATCTTTTGAATGTCAGAGGAGACTTCACCAGAATCTGGGGTTCCACCTGAATTAGAGTAATTAGCAGTAAATAAGAGAGACGTGAGCACGCTCCCACCCCTCAGTTTATCAGAGTAAAAGGTTTGGCAACACCAGCTAAGTCCCTTTGTTCAGCGGGGCTCATCTGTGACACGCAGGGTCCCGAATGCAAACTTGTACCTACCACGTCACTCTTACTGGTGTACACGCGGTCCGCGAGGCTCTCGATGGCAATCCACTTCACAGGCATCTTAGCGATGCGGCCTTGGCGGTAGTAATCGCCGCTGTAGATCTTCTTAGACAGGCCGAAGTCCGCGACACACACAGTCATGTCATCTCGCAGCCTGCAGAGAGGGAGCTGAGTCCTTAGCTACATCCCAGGCGGAGCCGTAAAGCACAGGTCTGCATCACATGCACGAGCAGTAGCCCAAAGACATGGGGAACAACAGCCCAGAAATGAAGGGGAGTAGGAGAGAGAGAACCTTGCACTGGCCTGGTCTGAATGGGGATCTGGCCCAGCTGGGCCACCTGTGCACAAGGACGGAGACACCTGGAGGGAACAAGGGAGCTGCACAGGGCAGAAGGGGCCCAGCTCAAGCCCAGGGCCCCTGGTGACTCCATGAATGCCCCAGCAGCCTGAAGTCTGCAAGCAGGTCTGTGGACCAAGGGAGCCTCCAGGCAGCCTAGGGGAGGTGGGCAAGTACATCTGTAAGGGGCACCCTGGGCTCCCTACAAAGATAGCCAGGTAGTACCTGGAGTTACTCAGAAAATGAAAGATACAATCCCCAGGACCTAACTCTCCTCCCACTTAACAGCGACAGGCCAGCCCCGTGTCCCACCACCAACACCTCAAGGTTCAACCCCCAAGGTGCACCGGGACCCTTACATGCAGTTTCGAGCAGCCAAGTCTCGGTGAAGGAAATTCCTGTTGCTCAGATATTCCATCCCCCGGGCGATGTCCACCATGAACTTCACCAGTGTCTGCAAAGGGATGTGCTGGGGACGAAGCAAGAAGAAGGATGATTTTTTACAAGGAAAACATGCAAGTTATCTCCATCTGGGGGCACCAGTGTTTTTACCTCTTAAAGTGTGGCCATGAAACATGGAAACAGACTCTTCATTCCCATCATCACTAATAGCACAAATCAAGTTTTAAAAAAGGAATGAGAGCCCTGGCTGGTTTTGCTCAGTGGTTAGAGCGTCCGCCTGCGGTCCGGAGAGACCCGGGTGCGGTTCCCACTAAGGGCATGTACCTCGGTTGCAGTTTGTCCCCGGCCCTGGTTGGTCGTGCGGTTGGCAGCCACTCAATGTGTCCCTTTCACATCGATGTTTCCCTCTCTCTCTCTTCCTCTCTCTCCCTCCCACTCTGTCTGTACAAAAAATGGAAAAATGTCCTCGGATGAGGATAAAAAAAAAAAAAGGAATGAGAAAAAAAAAGCCAAACCCTAAAACTATTTGGAAATGCCACATTTTCTTCTCCCCGCGTTTGAGAGTCTGACAGTGAAACACATGCGCTTTCCACATCACGAGACCAAAGGGGATCCTCCGAGTCCTGAGTGGCAGTGGGACCAAGTGCACGACACACAGAGAGGGGACACAGGGTGGTCTGGTTTTCGTGGGAGAGGGTGGGGGTGCTCTAATGTTTTGAGCCAAAAAGCTCACTTTGAAGGAGCTGTTTCCAGTTGTGCTCACACATCTGCTATCACTTTACTCTGAAATGTCTCTAAAGATACTTTTCTTCTTTTAGCATTTAGGATGATCTTTGCCCCTTCTCACTGGGATTTTCAGTTTTGTTTCTGTAGGATGCTCTAAGAAATTAGCAGTCCGGTGTTTTCTCCACGTGTAAAAGCTCACTAGGCTGCTGTGTTAGAGACCGTCCAGGTTGGAACTGATTGTGCGGATCACGACGGAGGAAGCCCTTTCTGCAGAAACCCCGTGTGAACGCAGTCAGGGCCCCAGAGGGAGGAGCTGCCAAGTCCCCGGCCACCATGAGCAGGTCTGTCCATGACACCCTCTCCCCAAAACACGGATTTCTCATGACTTATCCAGTATGGCACAATTTTTCCACAGTGGTACTAACAAAGCCCTGATTTTTTTTTTTCTTTACTGGTTTTAGAGAGAGAGGAAGTGAGAGAGCGAGCAAGATAGAAACATCGACGAGAGAGAACATCGATTGGCTGCCTCCTGCATGCCCCTCACTGGGGATCGAGCCCACAACCTGGGCATGTGCCCTGACCGGGAATCGAACCAGTGACCTCTTGGTGCATAGGCTGACGTTCAACCAGTGAGCCACACCTACTGGGCTGCTTTTTTTTAATGCTTTATATTTCCCAGCTAAGACCTGTGTCAGTCACACATTCTATATACAACAAAATGCTTTCATTATGCTTTAACCTTGCACAATGGAAGCAGTTAAAAAAAAAAGTAAACAGATCAGGGAGGAAAGTCCTATGCCTGTGTTGTGTATATCTGGAGCTTTCATTTTCTGGATGCTAATTCCCAGGAAAGGATTTGGGTACTAAGAAATATTAAATCTGCTGACATTCATGACGGTCTAATGAGTATCAGGTACTAGTCGTTTGTGTTATTTTTAATTCGAACAATGATTTTATTCTTGCACACTGTGACCAAAAGTCATTTAAAAGATAGTTGTGTGGCCCTGGCCAGTGTGGCTCAGTTGGGCTGAGTGTCATCCCATGCATCAAAAGGTCGCTGGTTCGATTCCCTGTCAGGGCACATGCTTAGGTTGCAGGTTCAATCCCTAGTCAGGGTACGTGTGGGAGGCAATTGATCGAAGTTTCTCTTTCTCATCCATGCTTTTTTCTCCCTCCCTCCCTCCCTCCCTCCCTCCCTCCCTCCCTCCCTCCTTCCCTCCCTCTCTCCAAAAAAAATAAATACAAAAATAAAAACTGAATAAAAGACAGTTGTGTGGTAGAACTAATAAATGAGTTCAACAAGGTTACAGAACGCTAGATCGTATACAAAAATCAACTGTAGTTCTATACACTAGCAGTGAACAATCAGAAAATGAAATCAAGAAAACAATTTAATCTATAAAAAGAATAAAAAATACAATACTAAGGAGTAAGTTTAACAAAAGAAGTGCAAAACTAACACACTGACAACTACAAAGTAAAAGAAACCAAAGATCTAAATAAACAAAATGACAGCCTGTATTCATGGACCGGAAGGCACATTATGTAACTGAGACCTAGTTCTGGGCCACACTAGCAGGGACAGAAAGTATTTATTCCCCCAAATATTGACTGAATAAAAGCTTGATCTTCCAGTTTCTCTGTGCATTTGGCGACTTCCAGTTTTACCTGTGGCTGCAAAAGTACACGTGGAGTTAGTTTCCAGCACTGGAGATAGACTTGTATTTTTGCAAATAGAAACTCCTCATTAGTTGGTAAAATGCTGTATACGTGTTTCCCTTGCACACAGCAGTATTTTGGGCTGGCACAGACAAGCAGAGTCTAAAGTTATGTGGAAACAAAAACATTCTACTTCTGGGAAGTAGAATGAATCCAGAGGAGCCCCGGATTTTAAGACGTACAAGCAACCGATACACTTTCCGATTCCGAGGATGGAGGGGCTCATGAGAAAAAGCAAGAGGGGAGGGGTCAGTTTACCCTCAGTGTCTGAAAAAAGTTCAGGCACGTTACCTCTGAAAACTGAGACAGGTCCAGCTCCCAGGGACTTCAGAGTGAATAAGTGAAAGAGAGAAGGCTTCAAAGGGAGGAGGCCGGCGCAAGGGGCCCCGGCTCCCCTGTGAGGACAGGGCTCCCAGCTGGCTTCCTCGCCCCGTAAACTGGAATAACAGCACCTGGGAGCAGGCTGCTGTGAAGGTGGATACCCCATTCAACCCGACGGGCACACTGTGAGCACCAACGGCCCCAGTCCTTGCCGCTCCTCCTTGATCTTCAAGGTCAGATGCTGAAGTTGTCCAGACCTCGTCAAGTAAGCCCTGAGGAGTGTCCAGAGGCAATGCAACGGGTAATTAATTACCTTTGACCCTGTGTCCAGCCGGGAGTAGAGTAAGTAGGTATGTAGGTCCCCGTATTTCATGAAGGGTAAAATCACCATGGGCTTCGGGGTGCCTTGAGAGCCCATTTCTATACAAACACCTGAAATTGAGAGCAGAGTTGGTTACAAAGAGCCCTTGTTAGCAGAGACCGGGAAGCGCCCGGCAGGAGCACGGGCCAGATTGAAACCATGTGCTCCCGAGTGAACAGTTAGAAAAACAAACGCTCGTAACTCACACTCCGTGTTCTAGAAAATAAAACCCGCACTGGGTCCACATCCTGGCATTTCCTCTCTTTCAGATCCGTGCCAATCTCTGCATGAGAGCTCTCCAAAGTTAATCTATCAAAGCAGAACCGTCTAGAGACCTGTGGAGTTCAGTGACCGCATGCGAATCCAAGGAGCAAACTAGTTTCACGCGAGAGTTACATACTTAATCATCTGAATGAATCCCATGAAGACGCGCACTGAAACCAAATGCTTCAAACTGCGAAAAGCATGTTGAGGGCCATTAGGTAAAGCCCACAGCCCTCGTTTTAACAGGAAAAGCATGAGATCTAAAGCGCAAGCCCGCCTGTCACCTGCTCCAGGCTTGCAAAGCCCTTGCTCATTTCGGAGCGATCACAAAGCACGACTGTTCTCCGTCCGCTGAGGTCAAGAGCTGCAAATGAGTAACAGTAGTTTCTTTGACATAATATTATATCCAAACATTAGTCTCCACATCTCCCTTGTGTGTCAGAGATACTGTGAAAGTTCCCCGAAGAATTTAGCAAACGCTCATAACTAAAAGTAAACGCAGGAAAAGACGAAACTATAGCAAGGATAAACAGATGACTGGTTGTCAGGGGCTGGGCGGGGGATTACATGGCAGGACAGCAAAAATAAGTTGTCAGAATAGTCAATTATTTTCAGGCTGCTGTCCCACTCGGAAGAGGGTCACTTCCACAGCAACCACTCGAACCTGATCTCAATGGTGCTAAAAACCAAACTCTGACATGAAATCACGTCCCGCTTTTACCATCGGCCTCCAAAAATGTCACTGTAAGGAGAAGCCTTCTGGGTGAAAAGCCCCACGTGGTGAATCACTTTGGGCTCCATCAGGTTTCCCTTCGGCACAGAGTGGCTGAGCCGAGCGCCCCCCGACCCCGGCCACCAGTCCTGCCTTTCTCGAGGTACCTAGGAGTCGGATGACGTTCTGGTGGCTGAAGTCCTTCATGCACGCGGCCTCGCTGAGGAACTCCTCGATCTCTCGCTGAGAAAAGTTGTCCACTGAAAGAAGAGATGAGAAACCTCAGACACCCGTAATGTGCTCCATGAAGGGGAGGGGGCAACAGCAATGTTGTTCTCTAAACGTAAAATCAGGAGAAGACAAAACTGTAGCAGGAGTAAACAGATGAGTGGTTGTCAGGGGCTGGAAGGGGGAGTTTAAGAAGGGGTGCACAGGCGATCTTAGGGTGATGAAACATCTGTAGGACACAGTGGCGGTGGACACATACACTTGTCAAACCCACAGAATGTACAACACAGGGTGGAGCCTAACGTAACTGATGGGATGTCAGTCAATAACGTATGAATATGGGTCTATCACCTGTGAAAAAGGCACCGCACTAATGCATGATGTTCATGACAATGGGGCTCTGTGCGTGAGCTCTGTACTTGCTACCTCATTTTTCTATAACCCTAAAACTGCTCTAATAGTTAAAAGCTAATAACAAATCCAACTGATCTGTTGAGATCAGTTTGGCCTTAAAGAAAGAAGGATCTTGTGTGTCTCCTCATCACGGTGTCTTGCAAGTCTGCTTGCTCAGTCCCGCCTTGTGAACTAGATACACTTTCATACCAAGTTTTTGGAATTAAGCCAACTTAAGAGAGACATTTAAAATCCTATAATAGCCCTGGCCGGTCTGGCTCAGTGGTTAGACCGTCAGCTGTGGACCAGACCCGGGTTTGGTTCCTGCTAAGGACACGGTTTGTCCCCGGCCTCAATTGGGGTCGTGTGGGTGGCAACCAGTCAGTGTGTCTCTCTCTCACATTGATGTTACTCTCCTTCTCTTCCTCCCTCTCTCCCTCCCGCTCTATTTGATGAATGAAAAAATGTCCTCGGGTGAGGATAAAAAAAAAAAAAAAATCCAATACTATGCTAAGTGGCATAAGCCAGTGACAAGAGGTCACATACTGTGTGATCCCACGTGTATGAGGTACACAGAGTCAAATTCATAGAAGTTGAAACGGGGTGCTGGAGGGCGGGTCGGGAGCTGTGTAATGCACTAAGTTTCAGTTTTGTAACATGAAAAAGTCTGGGAGATAATGGTGGTGATGGTTGCACAATAATGGAAACGTACTTAATGCCACTGAACTTAAAAACAGGCCCTGGCCAGTGTGCCTCAGTTAGGCATTGTCCTGTGTGCCGAAAGGCTGCTGGTTCAATTCCCGGTCAGGGCACATGCCTAGGTTGTGGGCTTGATCCCTGGTTGGGGGTGTGCAGGAGGCGGCCAATTAATGTTAGGTTCTCACATTGATGTTTCTCTCTCTCTCCCTTCCTCTCCCTCTAAAAATCAATAAACTATTCTTTCAAAATTAAAAAAAAATGGTTAGGATGTTTTGTGTATTTTATCACAATTAAAACCAAACAGGTGTGCCTTAGGGATTCTGCTTTAACAGGGCACACGGGTTCACTGAAATCACAGGAGAGCATCTAGCTCAGTGTCTGCACATCCTATGGGTTTAATATATGTATTAATCTCCCTATAAAAACAAATTTTAAAAATATTAAAATAATTCTATAGGTGTGCAACACGTCTGCCACTTAGCCCTCACCTTTAGCCTTTGCTGCCAACAAGCAGGGGGATGGGTGGGACAAAAGAGGTGGAGTCTCCCTGCAAGCCCCTCCCCCGAGGGGTCAACATCCAGGCAAATGCAGAGGAGCCTGCATTTAGAGGCCAGAGACGAGTCTTTGGATCTTTGATAATTAGCATGGATCCAATTCGTATGCAAGTCATTCTGATCAAGTTGAAAGAGCCAAGGCCAGAGGGGACACAGGTTCCAGACCCAGCTCCTTAACTAGGTCTCTGAAACCTTCTCCTTCAGCGGTTCTCAACCTGTGGGTCGCCACCCCTTTGGGGGTGGAACCCTTTCACAGGGGTCACCTAAGACATAACAGTAGCAAAATTACAGTTATGAAGTAGTAACGAAAATAATTTTATGGTTGGGGGTCACCACAACACGAGGAACTGTATTAAAGGGTCGCGGCATTAGGAAGGTTGAGAACCACTGTTCTACTTGATAAATGGGGACGATGGAAGGACAGACACAGCGTGAGGCTCCAACACCATAACGAGGGGCAGGGCCAGTGCTGAGTGTGGCCCCTGCAGGGTTCAGCCCCAGGGAGAGCTCTAACCTCAGGGCACACCTGCTTCCCAGCTGTCCTGATATCGGGGTCCTGCTGTACTCATGAAAGGGGTGTAGCTGCAGTGCCCTGGGCACGTGGTATTACTGTCTATTACCAGACACATGAAAAGCAAAAAGCACCAGCCCACGTGACTGGTGGGTTATGATGGTTACTTTCATTTTATTTTTTTATTATCCTCACCCGAGGACATTTTCCCTTTTTTTTTTTTTTTATCCTCACCCGAGGACATTTTTCCATTTTTTGTACAGATAGAGTGGGAGGGAGAGAGAGGAAGGGAGAGAGAGAGGGAAACATCGATGTGAGAGGGACACATCGAGTGGCTGCCACCCGCACGACCAACCAGGGCCGGGGACAAACTGCAACCGAGGTACGTGCCCCTAGTGGGAACCGAACCTGGGTCTCTCCGGACCGCAGGCCGATGCTCTAACCGCTGAGCCAAACCGGCCAGGGCCATTTTCCCATTTTTTTGTTCAGGTAGAGTGGGAGGGAGAGAGAGAGAAACATTGATGTGAAAGGAACACATCGAGTGGCTGCCACCCACACAACCAACCAGGGCCGGGGACAAACTGCAGCCGAGGTATGCGCCCTTAGCGGGAACCGAACCCGGGTCTCTCAGGCCCACAGGCCGACGCTCTAACCGCTGAGCCAAACCGGCCAGGGCTAATGGTTACTTTTTATAAATGAATGAAAACTTCAGCCCAGCCGGTGTGGCTCAGTGCACTGAGTGTTGTCCCACGGACTGAGAGGTCCCAGTTGGATTCCCCATCAGGGCACAAGCCCAGGTTTCTGGGTTCAATCCCCAGTGAAGGGCATCAGGAGTCAGCCAATCAGTGTTTCTCTCTCATCGATATTTGTGTTTCTCTCCCCCTTGCTCTTTCTCTAAAAAAAAAAAAAGTCAATCAAAACATATTTAAAAATACAAAACAAAACTTTAGCCTCTGGTTCTGGTTAAAAGACTCAAGGCATGGTTATAATCCAACTTACATTTTAATGCCCAGTAAACAGTGCACTTAAACTTCAGAAAGAAACCAGTTTCTCTTCACTCCCTGATGACATAACGTTGGGTTTATATGGGAGCTAAGGACGAAGCGACGTGAAGAACTGAACACACGACGCACTAATCCTCTCCCTCCCAGGGTACTGGGAAGACAGCGCAGGTGACGTGCCACACCGTCGAGGTCTCTTATGGGTGCCAGGCTGAACGCCTGAAGAATCGAACTGAGACAGTCACGGGGTCACATGCTGAGCCCAGACCAGCCCTGCCCAGAAATGCATGCCCTATGTGGGGTCACTAATGGGGGGCACGTTTCCGCCTGGAGTGTGAGGACGCTGCAGTGCAGGATGAGGGGCCCATCCCAGCAGCTGCCCCTCTAGGACCAGGCACCGCTCCAGATGGCCTTTGGGGCCATCGGCGACTGAGACCATGACCTCTGAACCCCGCCCTGGCTTCAGGGAGCACCAGACACCGAAGCAGCTGTCCACGCCTAAAAGAATGGGTTTCGAGGGTGATTAACTCACGTTTCATGGTCTTCACAGCCACTTTCTCAGAGGTCCCATCTTGCTGACTAAGATTTCCTTCCATGACAGACCCAAACTCTCCTGTGAGGTAAAAACAACACCTGTGTGGACCTTGTGCAAAATCTCTCCTGACCACAGAAACACCACGGTGCCAGGGCCACGTGGCCACCTGCACCCGCAAACCAGGGTGCGAGCCAGGCACTGACCTCCTGCCTGCCGCCGCCTTGGCCGGCTGGGACTTAGCTCAGTTCGCTTTATTGCAGGACAACACGGAAAATGTTTTTGAGATTCATAAAGTAGAAACTCTGAACACCATCGTCATTCACCCAACCATCAGGGTGACAAATTAAACAGGTATTTTCACCTTTGTTCCTATCTAACTAGGAAGGTGCCAGGAATTATAAACTTGACAACTAGAGGAATAAATTTAAACAATATAGGAAACCAACAGGTGAATTACATGCTTTTCGATGGAGGAAGGGAAATGATATTTTCAGGGCCTCCTGGCTGTGGGCCAGGCGCTACAGAAACCCATGCGTATGCCCAATCTTGGCTTCAACATCACTCTTTACTTTTTCATTTCAAATGATAAAATAGACTATTTGCATTGTCACTTAAAGTCACAAAACGGTATTTAATAAATACACATTTAAAAAAATTACTGTGAAATGTTTACTTTTTTACCCAACATTTAAAAATAATTGAAGTGCGTACCTTCGCCCAGAATTTTCCCCAGAACGAGACGGCTCCTGTCGATGACAACGTCCTCCAGCTTACTCTGCAGCTCCTCGCTGACTCCCAAGCTGCGCACTGGAAAGCAAGCGCCGGACACACGCACGTCAGTGCTTCCTGTCATTATATATCATTTGTCATTACAATGATATATAAACCCCCATAAACGTCCTAAACACTTTTTTGTTGTTTTTCATCTTCACCTGAGGATATTTTTCCATTGATATTTTTTAGACAGAGTGCAAGGGAGGGATGGAAGGAGGGGGAGAGAGAGAGAAACATCAGTGTGAGAGAGACATATGGATTGGTTGCCTCAAGCATGACCCTGAGGAGGAACAGAGATTGAACCTGCAACCCAGGTACATGCCCTTGACCAGAATCGAACCTGTGACCCTTTGGTCCTCGGGCTGACTTCCTAACCCCTGAGCCAAACCAGTCAGGGCAGCTAAACACTTTTTCCATCTTATACCCACCCCACAGCTCTCCTCCCGAAAAACACCAGTAATAAAACATCACACTTAATTCTACTGTGATTAAAGTGAATAAAATGAATCCTTTGGGGCAAGATTCATTCTGGAGGATTAATAAAATCAGACCCATGTTTCTCCTTCCAAAGTCCAGTATCAGCAAGTGGCAATCAGGTTTCTGTTGGGAAGGTTCGCCCCTGACGAGGAGTGAGGGAGAGAAGTTACTGGGGACTTCCCAGTGGAGTATTTACTGCCATATCCCTATGGCTGGGATACGAAGGAGCCATCAGGCACCTCCCATCCTCCCTGCCTGGGAAGGAGGCGCAGAAGCCAAGGAAACAGAGCACAAGCTTCTGTTCACGCGTGGACCGTGAGCCCAGTCACGGGCACAGAACGTGCTGAACTGAGGACCTGTGGGAGGACCGGAGAACAAGGGCTTCTGTGCTAAGGTGCAGATACGCGGCACGGACAACAGTGTCACCAAGAAGCCATTAACCAGAGAGGGAACCCATTCAGTGACTATTTGGCAAATGACTCAGTGTGTGCTAGCAAGGCCACGAGCAAGGCTTTGAAAGGAGAAAACACGAGGACAATCTGTACACTTCAGCTCACAGTGAAACAACTGTACCCAAATGGTCCTCCCAAACAGAAATGACATTGGTCTAAATTAAGACTTTTTTAAAATGTAAGAACAGCTAAAAATCAAAACTTCGTCACACGCCTTTTGGTTGCAGAGCAGCCTGCACTCCGTCATTCTTACACTCGGCTTGCTGTTGTGTGGGCAGACAGCCAGAAGCTTAAATCTGCACGTCTTTGCACATCCTTTCTTCAGTTTCGGACATTATTCGAGAACACAGAGTACCAACGGGAAGAGTGGCCACTTGGATTCAGCAAAGCTGAAACCGTGATCAGCACGAAGTGTGAGCACATCGTGCCGAGTCGGTGCCAGGAGAAATGCAGGAAGCGACGAGCTCTGAGATCATCAGTTGTTTTGCTGTTTCCTTTAAATCCCTGACCTTACCCACATCTCCTACCATCCGGAGTTCCCTTCCTCTCCACTTCATGGCATCTGGAGGCGGTCACCCCGGCTATACGCCCCAGATTTCCAGGAAGCCGGCCAGCAGGGAGGCCCAGGGCCATGTGACCGCTTGCTGCTTGCTGAATACATCTTGCACATTAAAAGTACCCATTCTTTGATTCTGCCGGCTGTTGTGAGAAATCTGTCAATGACTTTGTTGTTCTTCCTTCGCTCGCCACTATTTCAACTTTTGCCAAAAAGGGGAAATGAAAGGTAACTTACAGGTGAGTTTGATGGCTTGCCGACAGAAGGACTTCTTGGCGGTATAATTGACGACCAGTTCTAAGTTCTCCCCGGTGAAGGCATTCCTGGGCAAACAGAAACACACGCTCAGGCCAGAGCCACAGCGGGCGCTGACCCCACGCCTCGGCTGTCCCTGGTCCTTTACTCTTCGACGTGCATTTTGAAATCAGCTTGCCAAGTTTTATCAACAACCCTGCAGCAATGTACATGGTGGTTATATCGAATTTATGTTTAACTTGGGTGGGGGGGGTCTCTCCAACAAAACGGAGCCCTCCCATCCATGAGCATGGCACACATTCCCCCATTTAACTTTTCTTCCACGCTATTGGTAAAGTCTACTAATTTTTCCTGCAAAGTTCCTGCACATCTGTGAGGTTTAGTCCTAAGAATGTGATAGTTTGCACACTGTTGCAAGTGGGATCTCATTCCAGCACTTTGTCTTTCATGTATTTTAAAACCAGAATCAAAATATTTTTACACGGCAGGTCCTAGGAAATATTTCCTCCTCAAGGAAAGCCAGAAAAGAGGGTGCTCGGGGGAGACGAGCTCAGGACACCACGGCAGCTTTGACCATCATCTTGAAGGTTCTGTCCTTACTGAGCCTATGTTTGAGGTGGCCTAAGCAAACATGTGTATACACTCTTCTATGTCAATCATCGTTTCCTCAGCGAAATGGCAAATGCCTGCTTGATGACACAGGCCTCATGCTGCCACTAGTTCTTGAGGACACCGGCATCTCAGACTCAGCACCTCTCCATTCATGACTGAGTCTGAAAGCCTCAATTCAGAATCACAGCAATTAAACTGGTAATGTTCTTGGAGACCACTGAGAGAGAGAATGCAAAGGAAGCCTGGATAAAGTAAAAGACTTGTTCGAGTGACAGAATGAATAATAGACTCCAGGTGTCACACCTGTAGTCTGGTGCTGCTCCTTTGTGGGCCAGGCTCCCAGCACCACAGGGCCTTTGCACGTGCTGCTCTTCCTGGCTGAAATGCTCTTCCCTCTCTCTCATCTAATCAACACCTGCTCTTTCTCCAGCTTCTAGCTCAGATCAGCTCCGCAGGGAGGCCTTTCCTGACTTTCTTATCACAGTCAAACCTGCGGTACTATATTGGCAAAGGCCCTTTGGTAAAGAATTTGCCACAGATGCCGTTTTATATTCACTTGTATGATTGCTGCCTGACTGCCCACTAACTGAGGGTCCCATGAGGGCAGGGGCAGTGCCTGCTTTGTTCACCATTGTCCCCCAGGCTATCACAGTGCCCAGCATCTAGCAGGTCTTCAATGAGCTACTCCTGCGCCTTCCGCACAGGGTCTCCGCAATGAGCCCCACACCATACCTAGACTCTGGGGTGTTTTAGTCAACCCAATGTCCAGGATTTAGGTGAGATTTTGTCCATATCTTTAAAATAGTAGCCCCGGCCAGTCTGGCTCGGCGGTTAGAGCGTCGGCCTGAGGTCCAGAGAGACCCGGGTTTGGTTCCCACTAAGGGCATGTACCTCGGTTGCAGTTTGTCCTCGGCCCTGGTTGGTCGTGCGGGTGGCAGACACTTGATGTGTCCCTTTCACGTCAATGTTTCTCTCTCTCTCTCTTCCTCTCTCTCCCTCCCACTGTATCTGAACAAAAAATGGAAAAATGTCCTCGGGTGAGGATAAAAAAATAAGTAAATAAAATAAAATAAAATTGTCATTCTTAGAATTTACATACTAAGACAGCAGAGTTGTTAAGTTCTGTGGGCACCTGGCCACCAGGACTGAGGTGGACACACAGAAAGGGCAGCCCGCCTCCACGGCTGCGCTCCCGTCCACGTCCATGGGGACTGTCTGAGGGAGCGCACCGTGCTGAGGGTGTGAACCCGTGAGACAGGCTGCACAGCGCCCGCCCTCCCTCATCCTGTCCCACTCCAAGCCATCCTCTGCCCAAGTGACAAACGGGACTCGTGGAAATGCGAACTCACTGCACAGCACTGGAGTAGAACTGAGTCCCCGAAGCAATGACACGAGGCCTTCTATTCCTAGGCTGCTTCAATGAGGCTTCTCATTTTTCTTGATACTGAACTAGTTTGGTTATAAAAGTCAGATGTATGAAAAAATAAGAAAAAGAACTTCTTACACATTTGACTGTGAAAATATAACGTTTTTCTACTGGAAAAAAATCATTGATCACTACAGAAAATGTGTAAAATAGAAAAAAAAAGAAAGCAGAATCACCCACAATGACAGAATTGCTAATGCCTTGGTGAATTTCCTTCTTGTATTTTTATTTATATATACATATGCTGTTTGATTTTTGTTAATAATAGGGGTCATTTTAAAGACTTCTAATAAACGTGCTCATTTAATAGTGACCGAGTTTGGGTAGTGAAGACCTGTGGACAGTCTTCTGTGCGAATGAGCCCCCCCAAGGCTGGCTTTCGCTGCTGGCCGCCTGCGCAGGGGGAACACAGACAGGACTCCCTGCTGAAACACTGAGGAGCTGACCCGGCAGGACAGGCATTTGGCATAACCACCTCATCAATACGACTGAACAGAAAGAACATGTTCAACGGGGACACCTACCCAAACTTTGTCTCCTGGACTCTTTTTCTGATGGCCAGAGAAATATATAAAACCAGCCCAATCAGAACAAATCCACAGAAGCAGCCAAGGATGATGTGCACGGGGTCTGTGTTGCCAGGTGCTGGAGTTGATGAGGGGGCCAAATCTACCAAACCTGGTAAAAGACCAATGGAAGTGATTCAGAACATTTTGTTGGGATCTGAAATACACACACAACACTGGCTTGTAGTGGGGAAGAGTAGACAGTCATCAGCTTTAGAACTAGTCCTTCAAGATTCCGTGATCCACAAACACAGGCAGCCCTCGCTGAGATTGTGCAGGGGTCTCAGAAGTCACCGGGTAACTGTGTCAACTACAAAGGCACAAGGAGCCCAGCTGGTGTTGCTCAGTGGTTGAGCATTGACCCATGCACCAAGAGGTCACCAGTTCAATTCCCAGTCAGGGCACATGCCCAGGTTGTGGGCCCAATTCTCGGGGGGGGGGGGGGGCACGAGGAGGCAGCCAATTGATGCTCTCTCTCATCGATGTTTCTCTCTCTCTCTCCCTCTCCCTTCCTCTCTCTCTAAAAATCAATAAAGAAATAAAATTTTTTTTTAATTAACAAGGAAACAGAGACCCTAAATGACGCACTAGATCAGATGGGTTTAATTGATATTTACGGAGAATTACACCTCAAAACAGCAGAATATACATACATTCTTCTCAGGTGCACATGGGACATTTGCAAAGATAGACCACATGTTAGGACACAAACTAAGTTTCTACAAGTTCAAGAAGATTGATATTATATCAAGCATCTTCTCAGATCACAATGGCATGAAACCAGAAATTAATTACAATGAAAACACTCAAAAACATCCAAACACATGGAGGCTAAATAGCATGTTATTAAACAATGAATGGGTTACCAAGGAGATCAAGGAAGAAATAAAAATATTCCTGGAAACCAATAAATATGAACATACAAAACAAAATCTATGAGACGCAGCGAAAGCAGTCCCGAGAGGGAAGTTCATAGCACTACAGGTCTACATCAAGAAACAAGAAATAATTCTCATACACTATCTAACCCTACAACTTAAAGATCTAGAAAGTGAACAAAAAGCAAAACCCTGAGCAAAGAAGGAAAGAAATAATAAAGGTCAGAGTAGAAATAAATGACCCAGAGACTAAAAAAAATTTCAAAAAAATCAATGAAACCAGGAGCAGGTTCTTTGAAAAGAAAAAGAGAAGGGACCCAAATGAAAATAAAAAAAAAACAAAATGAAAGAGGAAATGTAACAACTGAGACCACAGAAATACAAAGGATTGTTAGAAAATACCATGCACAATTATATGTTAACAAATTAGACAACTAGGCTAAATGAACAAGTTTCTAAAATCACAGTCTCCCAAAACTGAACTGGGAAGAGTCAGAAAACTTGAACAGACCAATAACAACTAAGGAAATTGAAGCTGTAATCAATAAATTTCCAGCAAACAAAAGCCCAGGTCTGGACAGCTTCACAGGGGAGATTTACTGAACATTCAAAGAAGAACTAACACCTATTCTCATCAAACTATTCCAAAAAATTCAAGAGGAAGGAAGACTTGCAAGCTCTTTTTATGAGGCCAGCTTAATCCTAATTCCAAAACCAGATAAAGACAATACAAAGAAAGAAAACTGCAGGCCAATATCCCTGATCAACATAGATGCCAAAATCCTCAATAAAATACCAGCAAACTGGATCCAGTAATATATTAAAAAAATTATTCACTCTGACCAAGTGGGATATATTCCAGGGACGCCAGGTTGGTGCAGTATTTGCAAATCAATAAATGTGACACACCACATAAACAAAATGAAAAGTAAAAATATGATCATATCAGTTTTGCAGAGAAAACATTTGATAAAATCCAGCACCCATTTCTAATAAAAACACTCAGCAATGTGGGAATAGAGGGATCATATCTTGACATAATAAAAGTCATAAATGAAAAACCTACAGCCAACATCATACTCAATGGGCAAAAACTAAAAGCACTTCCCTTAAGAACAGGAGCAAAACAGAAATGTCCACTTTTGCCACTCTTATTTAACATAGTACAGGAAGTTTTAGCCACAGCAATTAGAAAAGAAAAAATAAAAGGCATCCAAACAGAAAAGGAGGAAGTAAAACTGTCATTATTTGCAGATGACATAATATTATACACAGAAAACCTTAAAGACTCTTTCAAAAATCTACTAGATTTAATAAATGAATTTGGCAAAGTAGCTGGATACAAAATCAATATTCAGAAATTGATGGCATTCTTATACACCAATAATGAGCACTCAGTAAGGTAAACTAAAAACAAAACAAAACAAAAAAATCCCATTTACCACTGCAACAAAAAAATTAATACCTAGGAATAAACTTAACTAAGGAGGTAAAAGACTCTTTCTCAGAAAATTATAGGACATTGAAAAAAGAAATAGAGGAAGTTATATAAAAGTGGAAGCATATACCATGTTCATGGATTGGAAGAATTAACATCATTAAAATGGCCACACTACCTAAAGCAATCTATAGATTCAATGCAATGCCTATTAAAGTACCAACATCATATTTCATAGATCTAGAACAAATACTCCAAATGTTTATATGGAATCAAAAAAGACCCTGAATAGCCACAGATATCTCGAAAAATAACAAAGTTGGAGGGATCACAATACTGAATATCAAGTTATACTACAAAGCCATCGAAATCAAAACAGTCCGGTACTGGCACAAGAACAGGCATATAGATCAATAGAACAGAGGAGAGAAACCAAAAATCAATCCAAGACATTATGCACAATTAATATTTGATGAAGATGGCAAGAGCATAAAATGGAGAAAAGATAGTCTCTTTAATAAATGGTGTTGGAAAATTGGACAGGTACATGCAAAAAAAATGAAACTAGACCACAAACTTACACCATACACAAGAATAAACTCAAAATGGATAAAAGACTTAAATGTAAATTGTGAAAGCATAAAAATCCTAGAAGAAAATGTAGGCCACAAAATCTCAAGACATCACATGTAGCAGAATTATCACTGCTACACCACCTAGAGCAAAGAAACAAAGGAAAAAATTATTAAATAGGACTACATTAAACTTAAAAGCTTCTGCTCGGCAAAAGAAACCGGCATCAAAATGAAAAGGGAACGTACCCTCTCTGGGAGAACATATTTGCCAATGATACATAGGAAAAGGGGTTAATATCCAAAATATATAGAGAGTACTCATACAACTCAACAAAAGGAAGACAAACAATCCAATTAAAAAATGGGCAGAGGACCTGAATAGACACTTCTCCAAACAGGACATACAAATGGCCAGGAGACAATGAAAAAATGCTCATCACTACTAATCATCAAAGAGATGCAAATTAAAACAACTATGAGATATTCCCTCACATCTGCCCTAATAGCTGCCATCAACAAATCCTCAAACAAGTGCTGGTAAGGGTGTGGAGAAAAGGGGACTCCAGCACACTGCTGGTGGGAATGCAGACTGGTGCAGCCACTGTGGAAAACAATATGGTGTTTCCTCAAAAAATTAAAAATGGAACTGCCATTTGACCCAGTGACTCCACTTCTAGGAATATATCCTAAGAAGCCTGAAATACCAATCAGGAAGAATATATGTACCCCTATGTTCACAGCTATTTACAACAGCTAAGGTCTGGAACCAACCCCAGTATCCATCAGCAGCTGAGTGGACGAAAAAGCTGTGGTACATTTACACAATGAAATATTATGCAACTGTAAGAAAGAAAGATTTCTTACCCTTTGAGACTACATGGAGGGACCTGAACAGTATTATGCTGAGTGAAATAAGCCAGTCAGAGAAATACAAGTACCATATGATCTCACTTATTTGTGAAATATCATGAACAAAATAAGCTGACAATCAGAACAGATCCAGAGACATGGAAGTGGGAACAGACCAATCTCAGAGGAAAGGGGGCTGGGGGATGGGAAGAGATAAATCAAAGAACTTATATGCACATATGCACAACCAATGGACACAGACAATAGTTTCAGGAAAGCAGGAGAGGGGTGGGAGCGGAGGGGGGTCAATGATAGAAAAAGGGGAGATATCTATAATACTTTCAACAATAAAGACTAAATATATATATGTGATGACAGCTCACATTTGAACCATATTCCTGAGAAACGGTGTTATGTTAACTCAACAGTGTTAACCGACATGCATACACATTGGAATCGTGCAAAGCAAGGACTGTGCAAAGCTTTTGACAATTCTGGAGAGTTTATTTTGTATGAAGATAAACACTCTGTTATCTTAAAAGTCTGATTTTTTAAACCTGTGCATGCATTTAGAGTCAGTATCTTATTGTGAATTTTTACCAGGCAGACAAGCCTGTGTCCCTATCACCAGTTACTAATGGTGCCAGGTACAGAGCCTCCAATTCTGCACTAAAGGGAGAGCATGTGAGAGGGTCACTGGAAGAGACCCTCGGGGACTCACTGGTCTGCTCACAAGTCCTGTCTGCTGGAAGTACAAAGCCAGTGTTTACAATGAGTTGAAAATGCACAGGTCACACAGATATAGGTGCCTGTGCATGGAGCTGATGACAGCAGTGTAACATCAGACAACCCAGGCAGGACACAGTCACAACAAAGCTGGATCCCCTCATCTATGGAAGTAAGCACAGCGTTAGGCCACTGGGGGCACCACGGTGGCACCTTGCCAAAGCACACTCCAACAACACGCAGAAGCCAGCACGCAGGGCTGGGCACTAGCTCAGGGAGCCCAGGGCCGTCTGAGGCGGCTTCTGCAGGAAACACTGCACGTTCTGGACTGATCCATCATGAGACATGCTGCTCAAGGCTTGAATGGGCAACAATGTGACAAGCTGCACTGATTAAAACAGCAAAACAAACACTGGCAAGTACACGAACAATACCAGTTCTAGAGAGTGAAGGATCAGCCACACTGCCTTGCCAACATTCAGTCAGTATATGTCATTTAACTATATGCAAGAAACCAAATCAAACTAGGTACCCTGAGCGGACCGATCCTTCTATGAGTTAGAACCATTCATAGTCATGCTAGTGGGAGAACTCACACGCTGAGGTGTATCATGCTATCAAGTCTCTTTACCATGGCGAAACTCCTTTGGTCTTTACGTTTCAGTCTTAAACCAGCTGTCCATCCCACAGATGCGCTGCCTGGAGGGACCTGCTCTGGCAGCTGACCGGGAGCCTGGCACTCACCGTGTGCAGGGACGAATATTTTCACTGGGGCACTGAAAGGTCCGACCCCTCCTGTGGTGACAGCGGCAATCCTCACTGTGCACGTGGCATTGTGGACTTGAACAGGAATCTGAGCGTGGCTGCCATTCTGGTTGACTTCTTCAGTCAGCTCTTTCTGGGGATGGACAAGAAAGAAAAGGAAATGAAACTCTGAGCTGCTGCCTGGGACACGTCGCCTGCTCGGCCACAGTGCCTCCTGAGGGAAGTCATCCCAGCACATCCCAGGGGCAGCGGCCATGTTTCCACAGCGTCCCTTCCTCACTCGGGCCACAGCCAATGAATAAAAGTGCAGGGATACAGGGACACAGGACGGGCTGGCAGCAGCCAGGGTTGTGTGGGCACAGCACTTAGAGTGGCAGTGAAGACGCCTCAGGAAGAGAGGGGCGTGTGGCTGATGCACCCAGATGACAAGGGCAGGATGGCTCCAGACCCCTCTGCACCACCACAGGGTGCTGGCCCGGAGCCACGCTGTCCCTGCCACGGGCCACCTGCACTTGTAAGAATTTTGACTAACATCTCCATTTAGGAGGGTACTGGCACTATTTTTTTCCCTATCAGTGTGACAAATGCACAATTTGAACAATTTTCAAAAATCTGTTTTTACTTTTTTTTCAATCCTCTCCTGAGGACATTTTTGCATTCATCTTGAGACAAAGCAGGAGGGAGAGAAAGAGAGAGAAACTTCGATGTGAGAGAGTCACATCAAGTGGTTACCACCCACATGACCCCAACCAGGGCCAGGGACAAACTGCAACCGAGGTATGTGCCCTCAGCGGGAACCAAACCTGGGACTCTCTAGTCCGCAGGCCGATGCTCCAACCACTGAGCCAAACCGGCCAGGGCTGTTTTCACTTTTATTTACTTTGTTTTAAAACCACGGCCATGTAAATCAGCCATCAAGACACAGGAGACAAATGATTTTTATTTTTTTAATCCTCACCCAAAGACATTTTTGCATTTATCTTTGCCTTTATCTTCAGATAGAGCAGGAGGGAGAGAGGGGGAAAGAGAGAGAGAAACATCAACGTGAGAGAGACACATCAAGTGGCTGCCACCCACATGACCCCAACCAAGGCCGGAGACAAACTGCAACCGAGGTACGTGCCCTTAGCAGGAACCAAACCCAGGACTCTCTGGTCCGCGGGCCGACACTCTAATGGCTGAGCCAAACCAGCCAGGGCAACAAATTATTTTTGAAAAAACGACCCGGACTAAGTGTTTATATGGCACTTTAGCCTTTGTTCCTAAATCGTGACGTAATGGTGTTCTTTGGGGGTAGGATGCTGAGCTGTGTGGGGCCTGGGGCTTGTCTTTCTAACAGGGCCGGAGGGCTTGAAGTGCTCACGTCTTTCTCTCTGAACTCTGGAAATGTGATGTCACAGACAGAATGAGACAACTGTCACGTCATATGGAGCACAGATGTCACGGATTGCCAGTGAACAGAGGGGCCTGGTTTGGGGGGCAACTTCATCCCCTGGTCACTCAGTCTCACGCCAGTCACTTCTAACCATCACGCAAGGTGGAACCAGCTCAACCTTTAAGGAGAGGACAGTCCCATCACTCACCACCGAGGGTCAGCCACCCACAGACTGTTTCCAAATCTGACAGGCAGTGACCATCTGGACCTGCATGCATCCCCAGACAAATGATGAAAAGGGGAAATACAGATTTAAAAATCGTTGGTTTTTCTATCGCATTAGACTCTATTGTTGCAAAAAGACTTGCCATAGGTTTGTAATTAAGTAAACAAATTAATAATGATCAATTTTGGGGGGATATTCAGGCAACATCTTTTTCAGCAATAGCATTTTATTTATGGCAAACCCAGTTTTTTCTAAAACTGAAATATATTTGACATGTAACACTGGGTAAATTTAAGGTGTACAACATGCTGATTTGATACCTTTATGTATTATCATCTAGTCTCTCTCTTTTTTCTTTATCCTCACTCAAGGATATTTTTACATTTATCTCCAGATAGTGGGAGAGCGAAACATTGATGTGAGAGAGACACATCGATTGGCTGCCACCACACAACCCCAACCGGGGCCGGGGACAAACTGCAACAGAGGTACGTGCCCTTGGCCAGATTCAAACCCAGAACTCTTGGTCCGTGGGCTGACGCTCTACCTGCTAAGCCAAACCAGCCAGGGCAAGAGCTAGTCTCTTAACAAATGTGATGATTATAATACAATGTCTGCATTCAGTGTACTGTGCATTGGATTTGTAGGACTTACTTACTAATTACAAGTCTGTACCAAGCCCAGTTTGGATCACAGTTTAGCTGGTCATTCTCTAATTTGTGGGGGACAGTAAATCATCCAGGAGAGTAACTCCCTGGTCCAAACCCACGGCCCTGCGGCCCTGCTGTGAGCCAGGCAGGTGGCCGAGAATGAACACGTCTACTCCGGACTTGACCACCCTACAGCTTCAATGTACAAGACCCGGAGCCCGACCAGAACACGGGCCTTCTTCTGGCTCCATACATTTCTGTCTACAAAACTCAAATACAGGACATCACATATGAAAGAAATGATCTCAAAATGAGAGGACATGCTTAACTGCAAAAGAATTAAATCCCTAGAAGGGGAGAAATCCTAACAAAAAGAGAATTATCCTTTTGGAAATAAATAAAAGTACTTTATGATACCTGTCGCCTTAGGGTCTGTAAGTGACCATGGGAACCCAGAGAAGTGACTTCTAATCTCCACCCCCGTCCCTTAGACGGGCCCAGAGCGAGTCTGTGTCAGGTGCTGGGGATGGCGCCCGGCCTGGAGCACACGTCACCCAAGCGCAGCCCGGCCGCCATCAGAGCCGCGGTCACCGTCTGAAGCCGGAGCAGAGTGATGGCAGCACTGTTTACTGCTGCACACTTTAGAAATACATAAAAACCATCCCATTCCAGAGGCAGAATTATAATAAAATTGGAAGTAGTGATTAGAGAGATATAGGCCGAACGTTTTAGCGGAGGTGTAGCAATTTTTTCTAAGAATACTCTTAAATGGCAACCTGCAACAACACAGTCTAAACGTATGATCACCGTTTTTGATAAGTGATGACTTTTTAATTCTGTTTTGATGGCAAGTGTATAAAGAGAGGCGTGGCCATATCCATATCCTGAAGTATTTTTGTTTGTTAATCTTCACCTGAGGACATTTTCTCCATTGATTTTTTTTTTTTTTTAAGAGAGAGTGAAAGAGAGATGGAGGGAGGAGTAGGGAGAGAGAGAGAGAGAGAGAGAGAGACATTGATTGCTTGCCTCTGGGCATGGGGCTGGGATGGAACCTGCAACCCAGGTGTATGCCCCTGACTGATCATTGAACCCACGACCCTTTGGCGCTCGGGCCAACACTCCAACCATTGAGCCATACCGGCCAGGGCTCCCCACGTGTTATTTTCATTTTGATTCTGAAAGCTGATGGAGAAGGCCATTTGAAATCACACATGGGTATGGGCCACCTTGCGTCCTCCCCAGGGTCAGGTGCCGACGCAGAGGTGGGGCCGTGCTCCTGGCATGAGGTGGTCTGGTCATGGGCACAGGCTGTGAACTGACTGCATACTTCTCATTTATGACCTTTCCATTTGTCACCAACACAGGCCCATATCCTCGAGGACTTAAAATATGAGAGTGTTTTCGGGAAATGAAATTGGAAATATAGTGCCACACTGATTACAACTTTACTCACAGATAAAACATGCGGCCCTGGCCTGTTGGGCAATGGAAAAACACGTCTCCCAAAATGTGACATCTCCCAAGGCGCGGCGTCTCCCAACACGTGACGTCAAAACGTGGTGCTTGTGTTCACTTATGAAAAAACAGACTTTAATATCTTCAACTCTGTGAGAACGCACAACCCTATGTTTGTATTTAAGAACATGGCCTACTGCACTGCCTCCAAGACCACTCACTGGGGCGAGTGTCGGTCCTGCTACAACAACAAAGGTGCAGATTCACAGGCATCGACGCAAAACTCTCACATCTGACTCTTCAAACGCATCCTGTTCTTACTGCTTTGTGCTACGGTGCCAAACTGGATACTGAACGAGAGACACTATATCTGAAGAAAACCAAGGGCACCTGGGAAGGAGCAGCAGGGTCTGAAGAAAACTGCCTTTGGAGGCAGCCAGACCTGGTTCTGACCCCAGAGCTACCAGTCCCAAGCTCTGTGATTCTGGGTAACATGCTCAGCATCTCTGAGCTCCAACTTCCCCAAATGAACAGGGAGGAGAAGAAATCTTCCTCACAGAGTTTCTGTAAGGGCTAAGCGAGTTCCTTTAGGTAAAACACTTAGCGACTGGTCTGACGCAGAGGCTACTTCTTAATTCCTATACTGTGTCCCACACGGTGCTGTATTTCATCTTCTTTCCCTTTAAATGTAAGTCCTTCATACAGACTTGACCTTGCAGTACCTCTCAAGGCTGCCTTGGATCATTCCACGCTGTCTTGTTCCCCAAACTATGACGTCTGTTTGACTCACTGTAGGTTTCTGCTCCAGGTACAATGGACCATCCTTGACGGAAGTGTTTGCGATCTGTCTGGCCCATGCCTACCCCTCATACCTAAAGATGACACCAGCTCAAACGCTCTGCCCTCCTTGGACAGCGGTGACAGGGAGGATGGAGGGAGAAAGAAGAAGGGCAACTGCCAACAGCCAGGACGGCAGTGTGTCAGGAGCAGAGTTCTAGGCAGAGTTTGAGGGAATCCTCAAACATACTATAGCCTTTCTGGGTCTTTGAAGAAGCTGGTTCTCCCTAATAGTCTGCTATAAAATTTCCTTCTGACCTAGACCGCCACCCTTCCAACCACAGCAAGACCAGCACGAAAGCCACAGCCCCACAACACAGAGCTCCTGGAGAATGACACGCATCCAATCGAATGGCTAACGTGTGGGCGGTTCCTGGGTCAGAGCTAAGCAGATTTCTTCACTGCAGCACAGCAGAGCCTCGAACTTGCCAACAGACACGTGGGTCCTCAAGGAAGGGCGTAATGTCAGTATTTTCTAAACTGATTTGCTCACTGAATTCCTTTCTCACCTTATGAGAATGAGAATGGGATAATAAGCACTAGCCCACACCCATCAGGAGACTGTTCCATTCACCTCCAAGCCCAGCAAA